TGCGCGTACAATGAAAAAAAAAGCCCACTTTGTCGACACGCAGGTTCGGTGGGTCGTCAACTGTATCTACTTATATACCTTGCACTCACGAAAAGGATCCAGTGTCGGGTGGAGACGGGGCATACCTACACTAGAGAGAGAGAGAGAGTGTGTGTCTATTTTCGAGCGTTTGGAGTCATCCCTGCCTCCATAACTTTCAGCGCATCTCCGTGTGGTGTGCGTCGGGCGATGTTACCTAATCCACACGTGTATAGGGATGGGTCGGTAAATCATGATGGTTTACTGTTACTGTTATCGTTGCAAAGACCGTCTTGGCAGCCGAGCTGATGGACGTGGGTGCTATGTGCCTGTTGTTGCTCCTCCGAGACTTGGCGTTGACTTTGGCTTTCTTGATCTTTAAAGCTCGGCGAGTAGCTTTCCGAGACCGATGTGGCTAAATTTTTCACGGCGAGTTCGTAAATGTGCAGGGAAGGGAGTGCATAAAAGTGAAAGACTGCCACCGTGTTCCGCAATCGTTTCTTTTTTTTTTTCAATTGGTTCAAATGTATTTTTGATCTTCATCAACGTGTGGCCGCGTGCATCTGGTCACTGCGAGAAGTGTGTCGTCACGAGACATCGCCAACGAGCACCGCGACGAGTTTAATTATCGGCGACGACGACAGATTTCACTGTCAAAGCGAACGAGCCGCTTCACACGTTCGGTAGAGCTAATTGCACGTGTTGTAATACTGTATTCACGATCAAGGCTGTATGGCTTTGGTCTATTGTACAAGCAAATGGGACGGTGGCCTCTGATTTTACTTTACCTGTCTATATAAAATACAATCAAATGGGAATTTGGAAACTCGAAATCGTCATTTGGTTGTAATTTGAAACGAGAAAAAAAAAGAAAGAGCTCTCTGGAGAGAGAGGGAGCGAGGAAAAGAGCAACGATGACGTAGCACGCGACCACGACCGTCCGTTTCTCTGCGTCAGACGGAAATAATGAAATGTCCGATCTCTTGGGCGCTCCGTAGTTGCAATCGCATTAGCCATCTGCTGTTGATCTGGCGCGCAATGTGGAGCAGCGGACAGAACGTGTCGGTGTAAACACAAGCGACCCATATATGTGAAGAACTCGATGTTTACAACTACGGGGGGAAAGGGGTGACGATGAGAATTTGCAGTTTTGGGCGTGTATTTCTTACAGATTCTCCGAGCATAATGGAGAGATACGATTGGCTTTGGATGGCTGTGGTACGCGCGTACAAAGAAGATGAAATGGTCGAAGGCCTTTTATTTTCGGCATTGTTTTCGCGGGTAGAAGTGCGCACGTGTGCACCCGCACAAAATATACACGAATCCAAAGAGGCGAGCGAGTCGAGATGGATTTTAGCGAGTTGCATGGCCAACGTAGGCGAGGGCTTGATTATCGAGCCAATGACGCATCGCGGGGATCTTTTTTTGTTTTCTTCCTCTGATTTTACTTACATCTCCCTTTTTCGTGTTTCTCTGAACCAATGGCCGTGTGGATGCGTTTTCAATTTTCTAGACGCCGAGATCTTACCGATCGGTGATACGAATCGGCTCTTGTTCTTCTTCTCATTTTGTTACAACTATTATTGTTTCTAATTTTGAAAGGCGATGGTTGAGAAAAACGGTGGTTGGTGGGTCGGGCAGCTTTATTTTCGTGGATTTACTAGTTCTATCTTTGTGCGGGCAGTGAAGCTTCGATATAACAACATCCGATTGAGTCAGAGAGGCTTATCGCAATACACTTAAGCCGTAGCGAATTAATAAAAAGCTCTTAAAATGGTCCGTAAAAAACTCATCTTGATGGGGGGGGGGGGGGAAATTACATAAACGCTCGGAGTTTCTTGCGTCCAAGGGAACAAAAAGTTTGAAATTGGGTATATGCAGATCTTTACTCATTCGGATTCAAGAAAAAACTCAATCTCCATCTCACTGATGAACACAAAAAAGTGTCAAAGTACAACAGTAAGAAAAACCCAAGGCGGCCTTTACAACAAAAAACTAGCTCAGCCTCCTGTTTAGCATCGTATGTCAGTCCAACAAACATATCATTCCCCTGTACGCCCGTCACTCTCACACTCGGCTGTGAGATCGATCGGGTGTGTACGTATGCCAGAGGAGAGATATTTAACCCGACAACAAACACACACTCGGGCGTGCGAGCCTATGACGTCATAAAGCGTCGACGAACGATAAAAGCATGATAAGCCTCCCCCTCGCCCGGGCTCTTCTTCCTCCTTTTCGCTGCCAATCGGTAATTGGATAGGCGAAGCCCCTGTCTCTTTCCTCTTCCTTCTCACCTGGCAAGCGTTTTTTTCTAGTTCCGTCGCGTTGCCTCTGCAGTTTCCTCTTCCAAGGGGGGGTGGGAGGATGGAGGGCGGCGGCAGCTCGAGATGAGCGTGCCTACGGATGGGGTGGAAGAAAAATGTTTCATTAGACGAGCGCGTTGAGTGCCCGGACAGGGCCGGAATAATCGATGGCAGACTCTCGATTTATCGCTGTCACTGCGGTTTTCCGCTGATCGGGACGCGAGTCAGTTGTCTCTCCCTCCTTCTGTAGTAAACTCGTCCTGATGACGATCAAGTGGGCGTACCTCGGATACATGGGAGGATTCCAAGTGGAACCTCACGAGATGCACACGCATGTAGAAGACGCTCTCGAGTGTCTGGCTGTGTGACAATTTTAATCAACTCTAATTCCATGCGCTTTATTGCATTTTATTATTTCATATTTTTTTTTTTTCTACTTTCGAGAATTTTTCACAATACATATTAACCGAATTTCCGAGGATTTGTTAAACTTGTTATATTTTATTTTAATGTATTTCAATACGTGACATTTGTATGTAATCACTTCGTACATCAATGATCAAACGCTCAAAAGGGTACGTCACGTGCACGAGTGAATGAAAGCCCTGCCCGCCGCGAGAGCTCTACAAGGGAGATTTAAATATTTCATCCCTTAATTAAAACCCTCGCGCGACGACTTTGGGCAAACCTATCTCTTCTCCCTTCGGCCCCTCCTTTTCATCCCGCGTTCGGTTCGGGCAGCCTCCCCCAAAGACATCCCTTCCGCTTGCTTGGCTCCGCAAAGAGAAAACTCGCGTCGGGCTCCTTCTTTGGAGGCAGAGGAAGAGGCTCTCGAGGGATACCTGATATCGGCGTGTCTCTCGACATCGGGGTGAATAGGATCGGTGTGCAGTGTGTGTGTGTGTGTATCCATCTTGACTTTTTTTTTATGTATATTTATTTTTAGGTGTCCTTTGCGCGCGAAAGCAGAGCTTCGTTGAGCGAAGGAATCATTCGAGGATTCTCGTTTCATTTGTTTCGCGGTCGCTCTCGCGTTTCAGGCGCGAAGAATAAATTTTCCCGTGCTTTCGAAAGAAAACGCTCGAAAAGTACGAGATGTTGTTTCCGCGAGGCTCTCCGGTTTCAATTGGCTGTTGATTTCGCTACGGCCTATTGTTAGATGCTTGATTTATCGCTCCCGTAAACACTCTGATGGAGTGCCTTACGATTTCTCAACGGAGCAAAACCACGTCGGGATGAAACCAGGGAAGACTTTTTTTTTTTTTTTTTTAATAATCCAGCTTGAAACTCTGTCTCATTTCTCGATCCATCCAGATCCTCGCTTTGTCTTATAAAAATTTATATTTCTCATTCAACTTTTTTTTCCAACTGTCTTTACCTATACTAAAATATGTCTGAAATACTGGCATTCTTATACATAATATAAACGACTTAACACTTGTGGATTAATCGTTTGCAGTTGTCACGTATTTTTCAACCAATGCTTTGGTATACCTTGACTCGATTTCATAATTAAAAAAAAAAAAAAAAAAAAAAAAAATGGAACAAAAAAAAAATTAAATCCAATAAGCTCTGCTGGTCTTCACTGTAGAGAAATGATGTAGCTTCGTGACTTTAGTATCGAAAATAAATAAGAAATCTCTCGTAGAATCGGGAGGGTGGATGAAAAAGAAAAAAAAAAAAAAAAGCGAAGACCAAGCGCGTACTTCCGCGCCAGCTGATCCAATTACATGAAAAACGTGTGCATCAGTGCACACACAACACGCGCGCTGCTCTGAAAAATAGTTCATTAACGATCTGACCTTCCCCGGCGCGCTTGGACGCTCGTCAACCGCAACAAACAAGAAGGTATGAATAAAAAGAAAGAAGGAAAGAAAAGAGAGCCAACTCGAGGGCCTACGGAATTAAAGGGTGAAGAAAAGCCGTGGGCACCCGTGAAGTGGTGGCTCTCCTTCTGCACGCCCACTTTCTTCGCTCCTTTTTTTTTTTTTTTTTTTTTTTTTTTTTTTTTTTACAACAGCGCCAAGTAGCTCTGTTAGACGTCCTCCCTCTCTATTCGCCGTGTGCTAGTTTCGTACTGGGGAAGAAAAGGGGAGTGTAAAATAGAGGTGATAGTGGCAATGAAGAGAGATGCTGGGACTAGCTCGTTCGTTCTGGAAACTTTTCTTCGTTACTTTTAAATTTTCGTCTTCGTATGGGCTTGACTCAATATTTTTTTCATTTCTTCCTATTTTCAGTTGATTATTTAGATGCGTATCCATTTGTTTTCGTAAGCATCAAGTTGATGGATCATGTATGGTTTTTTTTTTCTATATCTGGGATAAAGACATATATATATATACTATACATAAATTGCTAAATTTTTCCTTAATACTACATAGTTTTACATAAAGTACTTAATCTGATATATTATGCTAGCTAAATGTCACGAGGAACTATAAATCAAGTCTCGTGGCGTAACACCTCGTGCATCGTTATTAACAAACTCGCTTCATTGTATGCGTTGAAGCAACAAAAAAAAAGTATTGAAATGACTTTTAGAAAAACGGCATGTCTGAAAAAAAAGACCAGCGTAAACTCATCTCTCCCAACCGAGCATCAACAGAATTACGCTACTATTTTCGTTTTGACAAACGACTATTTCTAATCACGCAACATGTAACAATCGTTGTCCCGCAGGTACAAGAGCTATTCGGTGCGATGAAGGAGCAGTCGTCCTCGACGCGGATCGAAAAGGAAAAGCCCGAGTTGCCGCAGCGCTCGTTGAGCAGCGCGGCCGCATTGACGTCGATCGGCGCCGACATATCGCCGAGCTCGTCGCACTTCTTCGAGGTGCTCTACGTTGGCAAGACCAAAGTCAGCCGTCCCGACGTGCCCGAGTCCTACATCGACGATGTCCTCATCAGCAAGTTCCGCAGTAACGGGCTCGAAAAGTCCCGGTCGACCGCCGGCAATTTGCTCAACGAGTGCCATCAGCTCAAACAACAGGCCGGTGCCTCCGGTTTATTCGCAAACGCCCGCAGAGACAGCATGGTCAGTCGCTTATCTGTCTCCTATCCCTATACTTTTCCTTATAATTGGTCTACTTGATGAAAAGAAAAAAAATCACGTACTCTAGGACTCGAACACGAGTGAGGCCGGCAGCGTGGAGAACGTGGCGAGCAACGGCAACCTGATGTCACCGATGAGCCCACTGACGCCGACAACGAGCCTGAGCAAGTCGATAGAATCGGCACCAGTGACCCAACCCTCCCCAGCCCAGACATCACCCACGGAGCCACCCAAAAAGTCAAACAGCATCCCATTGCCGGAGGTAGCCATGAGGAATCGGGCCGCGTCGACGGGCAGCGTCATGATGACCAGGCGGGACTCGGCGAAAGACAACGAGGACCTCAACCGGACCATGCTCTTCCAGGTTTGCTTTTTTTCGTTTTTTCTTTGCATTTGGCTTCAAAAAAAGAGAACGGGATATCCTGACGCGTTGAATTCCAGGTGGGGCGTTTGGACCTGAGGCTGATTAGCCCGGACCGCAAGAAAATCCTGCTGCACAAGCAACTGCGGGACGTCGCGAGCTGCGTCCGGGGTATCCAGAATCTCGAGCACTTTGGCTTCGTTTGCCGGGACAGCACGAGCGAGCGCTTCGTCTGTTTCATCTTCAAGTGCCAATCGGAGTCCGTTGCCGACGACCTCGTTGCAGGTGAGTGTCGTGTTGCGAAACACTTTTCGACTCTTTGTCGAAGCCACGTTTGATACGGATGCGTGGTTTTTCAGCGATAACTCAAGCGTTCGAGTCGTCGGCCAGTGGACAGCCGAAGAAGGAACGGCCGGTATTCTCCTGCGAGCACTGCCCAATGGTTTGGTACAGCAAACTGTGCCAGGAGATCGAAGGTACGTTGAATTGTGATGCTCGCATATAGGATCCAGAGTGTGACGATACCTTGTCTCTTCAGGGCAAAGCGACCGCAAGACTCAGAGCATAATATTCTCGCGGCTGGAGCAGCTGCCGGAGGACGAGCAGGACGTCGTTGTGACAAAGTACCGCGGTGCGGAGGCTGCCAGTGGGACTGGTTCGGGCACCAGTTTGTCGGAGCAAAACCAATTCCTCATGATGCTGCTGCGTGTGCACTGCGAAGCCAAGCAGTCACGGCATGTTCACGACACTGCGGAGAACAGGTTCGTGCGTCGGCTCGTTTTTTTGTCTTTTCTGCTTTTGAATAAAGAAACAAGTCCGGATTTGTACCCAACCCAGAGTAATAGTATCAGAGTTGGTCCTTAAGTTTCTGGAGCACGGAGGGTGGGAGGGCTGCTTGGAATTCAGAATAGCGGGTACGCTCCGAATTATTGAGGACTCGCTTTGTGGATGAAAAGACGTTTGAGGAATACTGCATGAAATGTAAATTTTTTACATCGGTGCTTCGGAGATGCCGTAAGAAAATAAAAATCTCGTGTTATAATCCACGATAAACATTACCCCCTATCAAAAATATTAATACTAAATCAACGCTGAAATTACTCATTAATTACATCGTTGATTTTATATTGATACCACGTTTAATCAATACCGATTCAGTGTTGAATCAACGTCGACTTATTTATCAACTTGACAGCATTGAAGTTGTGAGCTTTAAAAAAATTAATTTAATTGCAACGGCAATGCTTACGTGAGAAAGGCGTTTTTTTGAAGTTAAGTATTGATATTATTGGTAGGGAAACTAAATCATGCCCATATCTATGTCTTTAAAAAGCAATGATACATTCTTCGGCTATAAGGCATGTTTAAGCAGCTACCTGAAATCAATACCGATTGATCGAATAGTCAACTAATATTTGACTTTTCACAGGAGCGAGTTTCTGAACCAGTACCTAAGCGTCGGAGTGGGCAGTACGATATTTATGAAAGCAAAGCGCTCACTGACCAATAGCTTCGACCATCTCATGAAACGAAAAGGCTCCAAAGACGATTTTGGCCTTGGCTCCCAGAACCAATTGAACAAAGCTGGCTTGCAAAGTCCAGTTGGCGGTTCAGGTATGCTGCCCATTACCGATACATCACCCGAGTCCAGCAGACCACGATCGCTTCGCGTTTCTCCGGAACAACAGATCAACGCAACTATCATGGCTAGTCCTAAAAGTCCTATGATGGATATGTAAGTTAAAGTCGTTTTTATACTTCATTCAAAAAATACATAGATTTTTAATTAATAATCTTTTTGTTATTTGCTGTAGATTCTTGAAAGTTGGAAATTCGCCAAAAATGTCTCCCACCGAGGGTGAAGGTAGCAAGGACAAACAGCATCAGCAAAGCGGTTCGTGGAGACAGGCGATATTAAACCGCGTTGTCACGCCTGGAAAAGATCAAGAAAACAAGAGCGATGTGAAAAATGTCAATTTAAGCAATATCAATATCGCACAGTTGATGCCAGCAAAGAAGAGGAGTAAGGAAGAGTTGCGCGAGTTGTGGAAAAAAGCAATAAATCAGCAATTGATTCTCATCAGGATGGAGAAGGAAAATGCTAGGCTTCGAGGTATAGAACCATTCTAAAACGATCTATCGAGGAACGCATGTCTAAAGTGTGATACATGGCTGAGTTTTTTTTTATTTTTCATTTTAGTTCGACAAGAGGAAGCTACAGTCAAGAGAATAAAATTGGAATACGACGAGCTGAGCAGTTGTAATCGACAGCTCGTAGAGGTCTGGGACTTGCTGGTCAGCAAGGAGTCGCGAATCTCAACCAAATGTGATAACCAAATGCTTCTTCAAGCCATAAAGCAAGGTATACGAAGGCTTTGTTGTTCACTGTTAATAAAAATTTTGGCCCCTTTTTTAACATACGGTCATAAAAATACAGGTGTACCGCGAGGCAAGCGCGGTGAAGTATGGCAGTTTTTGGCCGAGCAGTTCTGCATGAAACAACCACCTCTGGACACGCATGACTTCCCAAACTATAATACTCCGTACGAGCTACTGTTGAAACAACTGACGTCACAACAGCACGCCATTCTCATAGATCTCGGGCGTACTTTCCCGAATCACCCGTATTTCAGCTCGCCCCTGGGACCTGGACAATTGGCCCTCTTCAACTTACTCAAGGCCTACTCTCTGCTCGACCATGAAGTGGGATACTGCCAGGGCCTCAGTTTCGTCGCTGGAGTTCTTCTGTTGCACGTAAGATACCAAGATTGTTTTTATATTATAATTAAAAACAAAATTGGCTAAGGTATTTACTGGTTTCTCAAAGAAGCAGCAAGTTGCATCACGTGCGTTCGTTGAAAAAATGTAACTTTAATATGATGAATCAGACCTTGGCTTAATTAAGGTCAATAATTGTCATTGTCGGTTGGATAAAAAAAAAAAAAAAAAAAAAGGCCGACTGATGATCAAAGTCAAACGACTCTTGTGATTGGTCATCAAAAACGATTACAGATGTCCGAGGATCAGGCTTTCTTCCTACTCCGGCACCTCATGTTCCGACGTGGCCTGCGAAAACTCTACCTACCGGACATGGCAGCTTTACAACTTCATCTCTACCAATTGTCGAGATTGCTTCACGATAGGCTTCCAGCTATTTATAATCACTTTGACAAGCACGAGGTCTCGCCTACGTTGTACGCGGCTCCGTGGCTTTTGACTCTGTTTGCCAGCCAATTTCCGCTTGGATTCGTTACCAGGGTTTTTGGTTCGTTCAACGATTTTCCAGTCATATTTCAGCGAGCTAGAATATTGACATGCGAGTATACTAATTTTTTTGTTTTTGGTAGATTTACTGTTCCTTGAATCTTCGGAAGTAATTTTCCGTGTTGCTCTTGCCCTGCTAGAAGAACACCAAGACCCGTTAATGAAATGCGATAGTTTCGAGGAAATTATGGAATATCTAAAGGTACTGTTCGAGCTCAATTTCTTGAATAACGATCTACTATTTGATACCCATGGTCACTCATTGCATAATTTTTTTTTACTAATAGACAAAGGTACCAGCAGTAGACAAAGTAACTTTGGATAGAGTTATGAAGCGAGTATTCTATCCTGACATGGAAATGGCCAAACAGCTTAACGAGTACCGCGTTGAGTACCAAGTCCTCCAAGAAGAAATGATTTCCGTGAAACCACAGATTGAAAACATGGAAAAACTGGAACTGTTGAACAAACAGTTGGTGTCACAAAATACTCATCTCAACGAACAGTTAGAGGTAAATAAAACTATAAATTTTTTTTAAGTAGTAACTGTAACAAGTATTAATTATTCAACCACAGATCGCAATGGCAAATTTGGAACGTCTGGAGACAACGCGTACGCACCACCAGGCCAACCTTCATCGTCTCGAGTCCCAGAACCGAAGTCTCGAAGTAACAATATCGACAATGGGCTCGTTTATCCAACAACTGATAGACTCCAAAACGGACATAGAAATTCCGGGTGATGTTCGCCGAATCGTTGCTCAACTATCCTCAGTCGAAAAACGTCGCAGCAATAGCAATCTACGTTCCTTACCCGGTCGCGTGATCGAGGACAACAACAACAAGTACGACATGAAAAAGAGCAACAGTGCCGGTAAAGACTCGCGGCTCATCAAGACCAACAGCATGATGGAGCCACCTTATCCCCTCAAATCGGCCCTCAGCCAGCCAAACCTTGGCTCTAAGCTCGAGAAGGTATCGTCCTTCTTCGCGAACTCGCACAACCACATCAAGCAGCAACGCGCCCAAATGGCAGCGATACGGAGCGACGCTGGAAGCAACGAGACGGTCAACTCGTCCAACTCGCTCAATGGAAATGACGAGAACGATTCCAAAACCTCGAACATTGACATACAAATTACAGATAACAGTGTCAATAGTGGCTCGGACAATCATATAGCCCAGAATGGCAGTAGTTTGAAGATCGACACTATAGCTGCTTTGGAGAAATCGGTTTCTTTGCCGCGAAACACGAGAATGCCCCTCAAGTCTTCTAAATCGGCTTACGAACTTGGTAAGTTACTTCCCTTTTTTTTTTATTATGATCTCGTGTACCTCAATCGAGAGAAGTATACGCATTATTGATATTTTCCAACAGGGAGCGTGATGAAAATCCCCACGACAAAGCTCGAGGACACAAACTCGGATTCGTTGACAAATCTGTCGGGCACGATGCACCCGTTGGACACGTGTAGCGACGTGAATTTCAAGTACGGTGGCACGACGAAGCTCAAATCCATCAAGCCCATACGCGCCGGAGTGGGCCAGACGGGCGCCCACGACAACAACAACAAAGAAATCCAACAGAATCCACAGATACTTAGTAGATAGCAGATGCTTTTGTTGAACGTTATCAAGAGCAATCTGTCGTAAATTGTCGGCGTGAACGAAGGATAGTAAGTTAACGAACGAACCTCGTCAATTATTATTATCATCGTCACCAGCAATTATCCACGTCCGTATTATAAATAATAATAATCATAATGATAATAATAATTATAAAATTATACACTTTACCGTATTCTATTGCCAAATATCAATTGCCGATCGTTCGGTAACAATTACCGATACGGTTTCTCCATTACCTATTTGTTTGCCACCGTGTGCTGTACATTAAATTTCCAAAATTTACTTAAATGACGAGTGTGAGAATCAAATGTAAGTAGCGGAGCGTAGTAGAGCATCGTTGAGAGAAAAAAAAAGAAAAAAAAAAAAAAAAGAAAAAAAAATACGTAAAGCAAATAAACTACCATATCTCAAATGAATAATAGTTACAAGAATTTAACAGAAAATAAAAATCGATTTTTAGTGCCTAAGTTTAAAAAAAAAAGCAGTCTACAGAGCAGTAAATAATAACGATCTGTGCATGGCAACTGACAAACGATAAAGTTGTCCCTGGTGTAGGTTGATAGGTCGACGTTCACACAAATCATTACAAAAATTACACAAATGTACTTCAATATTTAGCACACTGACACACAAGTGGACACTAGTCTACAAATTTGTAATTTTGTAAAATAATCTTAGAGACTTATTAGGAAGTTTAATGTAGTTCGTCAACAAACAAGAGTACCATGAAAACTTTTTGTTAATCGGAGATCGAAATTGTTAACCGTAGTTCATTAATGTACCTTCAATTTGTTTAATAAAAGTAAATAAATAAGCAAAAATAATACTGATAAAATTTCATGAAAAACAAAGGTTAGCATAATCTTTGAAAATAGCAAAAAAATAATAATATGCTCTTGCTTGAAAAAAAAGAAAAAAAAAAAACATATATCTCTTTCGGCTGATGTCAAACGTTTATATGCAAGCTTTTTCCGAGATTTTGTTTTTCTTCTTTGGTTTTTACAACCTGATATTTTTTTTTCGATTTGTTAATGTGTTTTCAAGTTTTAATCGATTAAACGATGACAAAGACTGTCAGTCATAAATTTTTTGATGGATATTTACTTAAGAACTTAAAAAACTTCAAACGTCATACGTAAAAGTTTTATGATTTTTGTAATTATACTGTTATGGCAAAATAAACATTCAAATGAAAAGCAAATAATGTAAGAATCTGCCAAGATGATAATAAGTTTAGTCAAGACTTCAAGATAAAAACAAAATCGAGTAGATGGAAGCATGGGTAAAATGCGCTGTATAAAGTAGTTTTAGACGTAGAACTTGTGATGTTCGTTGTAGATAATATCCTTGTTGGTGTATGTTTGATATTGTACAATGAGTTTTATTATTTTAATTATTTTTTCATCGCTCTTTTGGTAGAAGATAATTTACTTTCTTCGTAAGTTAAAGTGACGAGTACTGTATTTGTACGTTTTCAACAAAATTTTTCTGTGTGCAATCATTTTTGTGTTTTAAAAATTTTTTCATTTCAAAATAATTCGAATAAACTTCAACTAAAAAAAAATTATCAATAGCATACTTTTAATTCAAAAATGACTTTATCGTCTTCCGCTTTCATTTAATTGAAAAAATATTACTGTTCGAGAAATCTTTAGTACTACATAAAACACAGTTTAATCTAAATGAGTATTAGATTATGTAACAAATTATATGTTTATGTGATATTTGTGAATTTGCGAAAAGCTGATTCACATCCTATTAAATTATTTCGCTCAGAAGCAGTATACTTAATTTTCGTTATTATTAATTATGTTTTCGTTTATTTACATCGTAAGATCGATTGTAGGGTGTAGAAATATTCGATGAGTATGTAAGAACAACATGCGAATGAGAACTGCAAGAATTATATTATTCTTGAACATTTTATTTCACTACTTAGAATTTAGAGATTCTAAATACTAAAATGTGATAGTGCGAAGTGCTTTTCTGTGGCTACATTTCGTGCTGATTAATTTTTTTTTGTTTAAAATTTTTTGTTATACGTTACAGAAAGATTATGATTTGTTATGTTTACTGTGGTCACGGCAAAGATGAGGTAATATATTATACATAATATATACATACAGTGTACATGTCTGTGGCCAACTACAATCAATAGTCTTCAATAAAAAAAAGATATGTGATTACAAATAATGTTTATGAATTTTTTATTTAGTGGTTGAAAATAAAATTCTCCCAAACTTTTATTACAATTTTTACTAAATTTTTAATCCTATCATTATCTTGATTTTAAGAATTCGTAACATTGTAAATATTACCTTATAACAAATATTTTTAAGACTGTTGCATTCAAAGAATGCACAAATACAATTACGTCATACGCTTTACCGAGTCGTTAATTAAATGCTTATTTAATGATTACCTTTATGATTTTTTTTGTTTTGATTGCTCATGCATTTTTAAAAAAGGAAAATTTGTTAACTTTTATTAACCGTTTCATGATCAGTGTAATTTTGATAAAACAGCAAACCATAAAATTTCCTATTACATTAATTCTATTTTCAGTTTGCATGTGTAAACACTTATGTAGCAATTGTTAGTACATGAATTATAAAGAGTATATTGATAATCATGACAACTAAATTTCTTGTAGAAAAAATTAATAACGTAAATATACAGAAATAAAAAAAAAAGTTATCATAGTTTCATAGCAGGCCATCATTACAAAAGTTGAGATAACGTTTGACTCAAAAAATTTGTTCAACGTTATGAAATGATGGCCTTATTGATTTGTTGATTAATTCTCAAGCTCATCCATAACTGTAATTCAACCGATTAAGCAATTTTAAAATAAATCAATTATTGGTGAATGTTGTTTCATGTCGCATATTTCTGGAACGTTACATTGACTGTTTACATGCGCACTGAATCTTTAAGCATTGAAAATAAACCCAAATATGTTTTATCAGTTTCATGATCAAAGTAACACCTATTCAAACAGAACTCAGGCGAACATTCTTCAAAAATGGTTTTATATAAAAGGTACTCAAACTTGACTTTTAATTTTAATGAAGTTAAATACTACAGCTTTCACACTTTACAATAAATATATTCAATTTATTTTGACGATCAAATTATGTATTACACAAATATTATTTGGCTTTTTCTTGTCTTTGAAGTTTCTAAATGCGCTAAAACGTATGGTATTTGCGGGTAAGTAACAATTTTAAGTTAGAATTAAATACATTTAATTAAATTTAACAACGCAGAATTTATTATTTTATTTTATTTTATTCAATTAACATTCTAATATTATTAAGCTTGCATATTTAATTTTTGAATAACGCTACTTGCAATTTCAAAGGAGTAATCAGTTTCGATGTTCAAATGGACAATGCATAAATAATAATTTACTATGCAATGGGAATAACGATTGTTTGGATGGTAGTGACGAAAGTTATCAGAATTGCAACTACAATACGAACAAATCTACATCGAACTTAGTTTTAACAAAGTAAGTCATGTTTTATCTTTTTTTTTAATCATCGCAATTTTTACCAGTGGTAGCCCTTAAACAACCTTTTATATACTCTTCTTTTGTAAATCTGATATAAAAATAATTAAGAGTGGAATTTTTATGCTAACTAGATCTACATCAACAACTCAATCACCCCAAAAAGTACACCAATACGGATGTGCTCTTGGTGATTTTTCCTGTCTTAGTGGTGAATGCATAAGTTTGAATCATACTTGTGATGGAGCTTATGACTGCAGTGATGGTAGTGACGAGTCTCCTACAATATGCCCACATGTTGGTGTTGTAGCTCTATCTCACAATAATGCAGAAAATACTACAAAGTAAGCCTTTTTATTAATAATAGTATAGTTAACTCAACTAGTGCATATAATAGTTACCTCGTCGTCGGAGTAACGTATAGGTGACAATTATATAAATTAAAAGTCACTAGTATTTTAAACAATAATACAAAAACATTACAAAATGCTTAAATGTTACCTAAAGTATCAGAACACCTGAGATAATAGGACAATAGGATTAAGAACATTCCACTTTTCATACTAATTGTTGGTCAGTTAGTTATCAAATAATAATTTACCTTCTTTAATATCTACTGTATATTTTAATGAATTTTGTATTATTTTCAGTGATCATACTTGCAACCAGTATTATGTAGGAAATACTACCCCTTCCTCCGTATTAGAGGAAGAAAGTAGTTGCATGCATTGAAAGTTATTTATAAAAATTAGAATTTTATGGGCTTAATAAAATAAAAATATGTTTTCTAATCTTTAAGTTATGAGCTTGAATTGAAAGTTTGTATTTAGGTTTAAATTAAAGAGACTACATCGAGTTTCAGTGATGGATTAAAATATAAAGATGATGGGCACGACAACTTGATACCGTGTGAAGTGCCTCCTCAACCACCTAATGGGCTGTGGAAGTTACACAAATCTCTCTGTGACTCTAATCAAGACTGTGAGGTACCTTACCATACCAAAACTTTGAAACCTGGTTCCTATCTTGTATACAGATGTAACAATGGGTACAATATTCGAGGGAACCCAGATGTGTTTTGTGGACCCGGTGGAAAATGGATTACAGAACCTACTTGTGAAGGTAGCTGATGTTTTTTGTTCATTGCATTATAATTATATTTCATGTTAATTAATTAACAGTTCTCTGATCAATAATTTTTTGTTTTTCAAAATTTAGAAATCAAATGCAAAATTTTGAGCGAATCTGCAACGGAAGCCATTTGTTTATGGAACAATCTGGCAGTATCATGCGAAATCCCTGCGCCACTAAACACAATAGCCATTTTGAAATGTCGAGAAGGATTTGTTCAGGAAATTACGTATGGAGCCACTTTCAAAAACGTTACTTGCGAATCTAATGGAATTTGGAGCCCAGATCCAATTAAGTGTGTTAAAAAACCCAAAAAAGTTAAACTTGTCCTGGAAGGAGACATGATTTTGCAGGACTAGAGGAAATTTTGTAAAAATTATTGTTCAAATAAACTACATAAAAATATTTGAAAACCAATGAAATAATAAGACAAAAATTTTTACTGAACCTTGTAAACACAGGAATTAAGAAAAAATGTTTTATGATATAAGTTGGAAGGCTTCATTGGCTTCATTCATTAGAAGATTCAAAATATTAAACATTTTTATCATTTACTCTTCAATTAAAAATGACATTTTTTAACCCTAATAAAATTTACTATTTAATTTTAATACAATTACTATTTTTTCGGGTGATGTCTAGAACTCTAACAGTCTCCTTTCTAAAAAATCAAACTTTTTGCATTTAACAATTGCGTACCCACGGAGAAATGGGAAAAACGAGAAACAAATTAGTAAAAACGGGAGGGTTATAAACAGCTGTTAAAAAACTTGTTTATTAAAACATTAATGAGAATATTTATCAAAAAAAAAAAAAATTAGTACGTTTTCACAGACAAAATATACGTGCTACAAAAACAAATACAAAAAGCTTAAAATTGTGTTACGTACTATAGTATATAGTTATGCATGTAACAATTTTTGATTGGTGAAATTTTCATTGCAACAACTTTTTTAGCTCCAAAATCAAATGAGTAATGTTTTTATCTTTTAAAATCTCACAGTATAAATAATTACATTGAAAAAACAAAAACTCACTTTTTTTAACAAATCTCTTTCTGTGATTACGAAAATGTTTACAGGAATTAAAAAAAAAAAAAAGTTAATGTTTTGTTTAAATTTGCTGCCTCTGAGATGACATCTATAAGTTCATACAAATCATGAATAAGAAAAATTGATGAGCACTGATATTCCTGCTGTTAAACTAATTCAACGTCGTAAAAAAATATTACATGACGGTGAAAACAAAGACTTATAATCGAAAATGTGTAATAATATACTTCTTGATGTTTAATCCAACAATTAATGATCATTTGGAAAGTAGTAAAAATATTCAGTAATTTTTAAAAATAGAAGTTATGAAATATGTATTATGTAAAAATAAAAAGTCATAGTTCTTATTGAGCCGATTGACGTTGTGGGTTAATTGTTTGACTCACTTATATGATCACGAATCACAAAAAAATGCTGTTAAGAATGTAAAAGTATAATTGCTATGAAATACCAGCCAGTAATTAGACTAGTCCACGTTTTTTCTTGGAATCAATGTGATGCAGTGATTCGAATTTACACAATACTTACATCACATCAGCTAATGTAAATTGCTAATTTGTATAATGATACTTCACCGTAAATATTTATTGCAGTGAAAAATTGTGATGTGCATTTTTCAATTACACGTTTTGAACATGAAATATTTTAATAAGAAAAATATTAGCAGTTTTCGTTACAGACGCACCATCACCATCGCGGTTTCTATACTTTATTAACAAGAAAAACTTTGTTTGTATGTTAATGTAATATTTAATATAGGGGTATTAAATAAATTATTCTATGTTAAATAATTCTATGTCCAATGTTTATTAAAACTACTCGTGCTAATGCATCAAAAATGCTTATCACAAAAAATATTACAAAGGGTTCTTAATTTAGATATTTGTAAACTAAATAAAAAGACCATTATATTTTGTCAACTAAGCTGCTACTAGTAAAATTAATTATTCAAAATTGGTTGCTCCAAATTTTTATCTGATCGCACGTTGTATAACAAAAGTGTTTATTATTTACAGTGTTAATTTATTCTATGATTCTTAACCTGATNGATAATATATATATGGTCAAAAGAATCCTTTTTAATTTTTAGTTTTGACGAGTGGTCCTTTGATTACTGAGTAAAAATATGTATAATATTGAAGAATTCACGTATAATTTTTGTAAAAAAATCATGTTGCATTAACATGAAAATTATTTACAATAACATTTTGTCTACGTCAGTTATTTAATGACTACAAGTTTGAGAAAAATTATAATCTTAACATTTGTACTGAATTACATAAATATTGCTGATAATACTTTCCATAAAAACAAAAAACCGAACGAAGCTGCTAGTCCTTTCACAACTTGATGCATGTAATAAAATCTGCAACAATTACAATGTACATCAGTTTTATCATTAATTTAATTATAATTTCATTCAGAATTCATGAGAATATAATATTCAAAATTAAATAGTTAACGTAAAGTAGGGGCTCACCTTTGCCATCTGAGCTTGCTTTTAGCAATAGTTTTCAGATTATCTTTAAATAAATAAACCCGGATACCCTTGATGTAATTACTGAAAAACTGTTCCCAATTAAAACTCTCCATGGTGAAGTAAAACATTTGCCTGTCTCGCGGGTCAAGTCGGTGCCACATGCCTCGTACGTTGTCATTAGAAAACGTCCACTCTCGCGTACAAAAGTATGATATGACATTTGCGAATTTGTGGATCTTTCCGTACATTTTCATGAGGCTGTATGTAGAAGGAAAATTACGCAATACTTAGTCACAGAAAGGTTATTATTACAATTAAAAAATAATTTATTTATCAAATTCACCTTGGCTTTCGTCCAACACAAACGCTCAAGGTGTCGATTATGAAGGCGGGAACCAGATGCAGGATAACAGAGTATATCGTGTTAACGAACGAATACTTGCTCATTGTGAAGGATATATACCATAGAGCTGTGCTCATAGGATACATGTTCACGTATCTTTTGTTGGTGTGAAAAAAATCCTGCCACGTGAAAGGAGCATCAACGGAAGACACAAAATTGTAAATCAACATTTCCTCATCTCGCCTAAAATAACAAAAATTTAATGTGGATTGAAAATAGTTGAAAAATGTAATAGTATTTAAAAATTGCGTATTATTTAATCGAATATAACAAAAAAAAAGTTTTCATAAAGAATAACTCACTAACCTAGCCGTCTCCATGGCTATATCCCAAGCGCTAGCGATCAGGGCATTTACGGTAAGATCGACGGGCACGATGTTGGCGTTCTTCTTGGGGTCGCAGTGCATCGTACGGAGCAATCCTGTAGCTACTCCGGCTGCTATTCCCGTTGGGCCGTAAAAATTGTCGATCCAACCTGGCATCGGCTCGTTGGCGGTAGAAATCACTGTTGGTTGAAATATGAAACAAAATCGATTGTTTGAAGATGTTAAGATTCTCGATATTCTATATAAAATTTCTTATTACTCGATTTTTCTAGAGCTACGGTAGTTTAGTTTTAAGTACCAATGATGTACTTACCGATACCTGGTCTAAATATACCAATAGGCAAACTCTTGTTTCTTGATCTGATCAGATCTTCTGCGATTGCTTTTGTGAATGCATACGTATTTGGCCAAGGTGATATTATTCTAGATGAAAAATGTTTTATTTTTTAAATTATATTATCTCAATGTACATGATTCAAAATTTAATGCTAAAATAACGTTGCTCACCGGGGAGAAATTTCATTGACGGTTTCTTCTGGTAAGCAGTTTACAAGGCTAAGGAGTTCCTTATTTTTAATGGGATAATCGTAAAATTTTTCGCCGATTTCTCGTGATATACAATTTGCGTATGCCGTAGAAACGTGTACAGCAGCCTGGAAAAAAATCGAAATTAAAACTAGTTAAAATCCAGATTCTATTTAAGTTGTTTAATCAGATTTTTTGAAAGGATTTTTCCTGTAAAATAATAATTTTTTAACTTAAATATCATTACATTCTTTTAGTTTTTTCTGGAACAAATTGAAATTTTAGTCGAGTGCCAGTTGAAACGTTCAACTTGCACAGTTCTTAAAATTTATTATAAAACCAGTAATATATCTAATACACTTTTTGATAAACCAGTTTTCCAATGGCTTACCATTTAATAGACTATAAATTACTGAAAATAAAAATAAAATTCAATGGAGTTGTACTGAATTTTTTAGTCACAAAAAAACACTACTTGTCGATAGTATTAAAAATTAATTATATAAAAAAAGTAGCAAGCAAAATTAAACTTTAAGACTGTCATTTGATTGATGTAAACAAATTGATAATTCATAGCATAAAATATTAATAAAAAATTCAATTATATTCAGTTATTCACCACCTGCTACGTTAAAATGCATTTTTAAGACACATTTGGGTTTGATGGCACTTCCAATTACTTGCAAGTACCTGGTTGGACTAGATACAATAGCGAATGAGAGCAGTTTTTTTAACAAAACGATTAAATAGTTATTATATTATGCTCTGAGTCAACTAAGAGCGGGAAAAAAACACGATTATAAGTTTATTTTTGCTGAATTAACTACTACCACTTATTGTTAGTTCAACGTCAAAACAACCATGCGAGAATTTGATAATTGTCGCTAAATACTTTTCGTTTGAATGACATTCATAAATATTAATTCCAGTTTGTCTTAAAAAAGCTTACTCAACACTGGAAAAAACTCTATTTTTTTAGAATCAATTATCGTCATTGTCCAATTCGATACTCCCTTACCTTCAACTTCTGCATGTCCTTGCACAAACTCAGAATGTCAGACGTACTTTGAACGTTGATCGCCGTAGCTAACTTTAGCTTTTCATCGAAGCGTACTGTCGCGGCTACGTGAAAAACAACGGACACCTGTGAAAGAATTTTGATCAGCACTTACAGTAATTGCAAAAAAAACTAATTATGAAATTGACTATGAGAATGTAATGTATAATCGAGGGAAAAGTGGTTTAGAAAATTGAGTCTTTTGGTAACGACTTTGTATAGCAACGCGTGTCATGTACAAAATTATAAAGCCACACGCTTATTAAGTAATGGAGCATTGGAAGTTTTGGCACGTTGCTCGTTCATTGCGTCTTGTACGTGCATACATTATTCTTTTACATGTACAAGTGTTTGGGGTCCTCGCATTACTCAGAAAAAAGTCAAACGTCATTCAAAATCAAATGCGTATAAAAATTTATGGATCAGTTTAATGGATATCTAATTAGTTCGTGCCGGGTAATAATAATAAAAATAATAGTAAAAAAATAAAAAAAATAAAACCGTTGATAGAAGTAAATGAATGATCATTACACGGTGATAAATAAAAAATATGTAAGTGATCGAGATACACTTGAAAGTATCGAAAAAACGGTAAACAAATTATTGTACTAAAATTGACACATAGTTATTAATATGTCGTACACGTAATTTTATTTTCAGCGATTATTTCGTCCAGTTACTTCATTATTGCACCACACTTACGTCGCGTGTCAGCAAATCTCTATCAGACGTAGAAAGTCCCAGGCCTTGGAGACTGCAGTCCCCAGCGACGGCCGCGACTTTGTGATGAAATTTTGGATTTTCCTCTTTGAGCCGCTTGTATATCTAGAAGAAAAAATGTTATACCTCTTGTGCTGTTGTTATCAATGTTACCTTGCCATTGCTGAAAACTGTTTTTATTTTATTTATTTATTTTTTTTTTTTTTTGACAGGTTGATTATTTTATTGTATTTGTAAATGCATACTCGCAACATGATTTTTTTTCATTGCTTCCTACACATGTGGGTCATTTGACGAAAAGTGGGAAATATCAAGGGCGGAAATAAACTAAAACTTAAAGAAGCTTTTAATTTTGTATTGCTTGTGACCGACACAAGTTAGAGTTTTTGGATCCCATTGGAAACGCTCTAAAAAGAATTTTGCAATAGCAACGTGATGGGTAGCATTACGAGCTCTGAGAAAAAATAATAGTACTAAATGAAAATTAAATTGAACCTTCCACTGATGTTATGTATTTAACATTTATACTTTTTTGTACATCACCGCAGCAGTAGCTAATGGTAATGAAAAAAAAATTAAAAAATTTTCTGCAGTACACTACACCTCCATAGAATACATAATATTTAAATAAAAACACAAAGTACAATCACGTGACTTTTCGGGAGAATTTTCCCAAGAAATTTTTAATTTGTCAGATTTTGGGCCACTACTTATAAATTATATGAAAATATTTTTTGTTTCTCTAAAATGTGAAACCAAATCTCTATAAATACATGAAAAATTTTATTTTTTATAAAATGCTCCACGTGCAAAGTGGGGATAAATCGTATGTTTATAGGTCGACTACTGTTTAAAAAAGAAAAAAAAGTTGTTATTAATTACTACTCTATTCACACATTTTAGTTTATTATTGAAAAATGCAAAAAAAATGTATCATTGAACCATTCAAACAGTTTATTTTGACGTAAGATGCAAGGATTACTGTGTCAAGCTCAAATTACTTGGGCAAAAAAAGTAAGTGACATCACTGCGTACAAGTAAACGTGTAACTTGTTGTATTTACATATTGAAGTACGAGAGTGTCCACATTAATCATGGGTAAGTGTGCACTCTTCGCCACTGGTGCGTCTCTCGACAGCAGTGTAAACTCGCGTTTCCATCATCCAGGCGAATTTTTTTTCAGATTTTAACAAATGACGCGTTTGTTGATACTTTGATTGAATTTACCTGCTCATTTCACAAGTTACGCCAAACACGCCGATTCAAAAGAAAAACCAATGTCATCTAGTCAAATGACAAGTATACTCATACAAAAATTTAAGAATCCATTACCACGTGATGCGCACTTCCTGGAATTTTCAATGAACCAAAAGGTGATCGTAAAAAGACTCGTCAATCGCGTATTAATTTCCGCAAAAATTTCGACTTTACTCTGTCGTTGGATTTTGTTTGGGCGATACTTCTTATCGCGGTCATGTGGAGCTACGCGTGCCTGTTGTGTCTTGCTAACAAATCACTGGTGAAAGGCTTCAATCTGGAGCACCTGTTATGTCTCCTCAGAGTTTCGCGCAACTTTAATAAGTCCTTTGCGGTTGCGGATATGTGAGATTTTGGTAATTGCTAGTGCTTGGCTGTCCAATCGCTCGTGTAATGGCAAAATCATACGTCACGCGATGTTTGCACCCAAACTATTTTTTTTTCCCCTTTACTCTCTAGTTAACACTCACCGGGTCGTTGAACAGTTCCTCCATTCTGGTGTCGATGCTTTTCTCTTTTTTCGGGCGTACCAGCACGTAGATGCGCTCGAGATCGGCACAGCTTCGCAGCAGCTTTTCTATCAGTATTTTGCCCAAAAAGCCCGTTCCTCCTGTTTATCGTACCATAAAAAAAAAAAAAAAAAAAAAAATTAAGTATTTCGTACATGATACAATTTATCTTGTTTGCGTAATCCAAATTGCACGTAAATGTAACGGGTGTTGTAATTGTTTATTTTACATGCCAAATACCTGTAATGAAAATGCATTGATGAGCATAAAACTCCTGCAGTGGAGTTCTGCTGGTGATTATTCGACTATTTAGGTCGAGTGTCTCTGTGATGTCGTTGTTATTGGACTCACTGGTGATTGATGGTTTTTTGTATACGTATTTGGCCTGAAACAGGTAATCATTTTACTTGAAAAAGTAGTTTCTTTAAATTATGTAGAATAAAAACATAATATTCCATTCTTATAATTTAAAAGGAAAATTTTATTGAGTTGGATAGATTTTAGCGTAGATTGAACGTAGATTAAAAAAAAAAATTAGTTTCATAAGCTAATAATTATAAGAGCACAAAGGCAGTTTCTCCATTTGCTCTCCAGCAAAAAACAAAATATCCAGAAATGGCATGAAAAATGAATTTTCTTAGAAAGGACAAACTCGTCCATTTTCGCATTTTCCACTCTAACAAATAATTCGCTAAGCCGTTTACATGTGTACATAATATGTTTACAAAGTTCATTTCCGGCATAACTCGTCAGCATCATCAAAGGTGTACACAAACAATCTGGCATCCCAAGGCTCTCAACGAAAGTGTTTCAACAGACCTTAGTGGTAGCAGTAAGTATACCTGCCATACTCCCGCGAAATGTAATATTTCTCGCGGTCGGCGAAAACTCGCGGCGATTACCAAACGCTTCCTCGTACACACAAATGCGCGACACGCGCTTTGCGGTTTCTTTTTTTTTTTCCGTATAATTTGTTTTTTTGTTTCTTCGTCATCGCAGCATCTCTTGTACCCGTACGAGTTCATCGAACCTTTTTCAGCATTTTTGGTAAGCACTGCCATAAATAGACCAATTTTTTTTAAGTCAAACATTTTAATTTTAGTTGCAAGTAAATCCAGCCAATAAACAAGTCTCACTATTGTATGAATGAATATGGATAAAAATATATATATCCGAGGGGGAGAAGACCGATGGATCAATTCACAGCTGGACCAGAGGCGTTTGTTCAAGTTAATTCACGCCACCGGATACATCACGAACGCATCCGTTCCCAGCTTCACTAACCCTCCTTTCTGTATCTGCTAATGTGCATTAAAAAAAAAAAATTTTCCGTTTCCGGTCAAAACTTTGAGGGCTTGAAATTTATTTTTTTTCAAACCTTATTAGCGATAAAAAATGAATTTTTGTCAATATTTTTCATGCTAATCAGATACGATGCTTTTTTTAATAATTAAAATTTAATTATCTAGTGCAAATAAATTTACCGGTTGTAAATACTTATTATTAATTTTTATAAATGATTCTTGTTGTCAATGTCAAAAATTATTCAAAAATACTTTATTAATACGCTTAACGGACTAATTTTTTATGGAGATTATATCTATTGCACGAATAAAATTATAATTAAAAAATCTGTTGATTAAACTATAAAATTATGAGTGCTAATATGCAAAATTATAATAAATTCTCAGTGATTCTAATACAGTCAAACTTTAACTTATATGATAATCTTGTAAATGAACTTTTTGATAAATTGAGAAAGTTTTGTGTCAATCTAACGATAGCGATTTTTTTTTCTAATTTTCCGAACAAAAGGGGTAACGATTGTTTGACCAAGATATGATGTGTGATATTACCTGATGGCCAGAGATAGTGTATACATGCAATCAGTATTTGGTGTGCTTGTATTTTTTCCCCCTTTTTCTTTGCAAAAAAACCATTTAATCCCCCCTTTAACTATTAATTAGACATAGAACGTTGTATCTCACATATTTTTACTTTACGCAAAATTTCATGAGTTAACATTTGTTTATGGTGTGTCGTTACTATCTAGTTATCGATAGTGTTTTAATTGTAGCTGCGACTTTATCATTGGCGAACAGTAAATATTAGCTCTATGATGACCTATTGCACCTGTTTATTTTTAATGTACCACTTTCAGCCGGTAGCGAATATATTTTATAAAAAAAAACTCCAGCTGATTAGAAAACATAAATTCGAAGAAATATACATTCTTGAAATTTAAAATGAATCAATTTTCAAATAATCGGCTGTTTAAAAAAACATTAGGTGTTCTTACGTTATTTCAATTATGTCAGCAATGAAAACAAAGCAGTCATCGACAAATCAGGAATTTCAAGGACGATCGTAAGTATTGAATTTGAGTTAATTAACGTATTATAAAAAAAAAAAAAAAAAAAAAATACTAGAGCACGATTTGAGAATCGTCGTCCGTGTAATTCGTTGCACCCAAAATGAATCACTCGGTCAATGTCTATACTTAAAATTATTTAAAAATCGTACTATCCATGTATAACTATAAACTACGAGTCTAGTGGCGTAATATTTGGTAATCCATGGGTAGGTTTCTATCGGATCTAATACGCGAAATCTCACCGAAGTAACAGCCGTCAAGTATTACGTGTACGTAAACATACACGACCCAAGAAAGATAGAGATGGTACGCAATTATAATAAGCCCCGGACGGCGCGTCGTTATGTTACATCGGACACCTTTATGTAACTCTCATCTCTCTTTCTCCCGACAAATCTTTTTTTCACTCCTCTTTCTCGCTCCACCTCCTACACGGGGACGTCGGTGACGCGGGCGCGGTTCGGTCTATCCGTAAGATCTTCATATCCCGCAAACGATCTCTCTCTCGTGCACCGCAGGCTTGCCTCATCCACACACAAATCTCCGTAAAAGCTTCCGCTTCTCTCCAGATTCTTACATTTACTATTATTATTACTTATATTTTTTTTTTTTTATTTTTTTTTTTTCTTTTCAAGGTGCGTAAAAGTTTTCGGCCTTCGAGCGCGGCTTTCTTCTTCTTTCGCGCCGAAATTTTCGCAGAGACGCGCGTGCCGGTGTCTACGTGTGCGCGCACACCACTTGTGAAAGATGGCCTCTTTAAACGGTGCCGGCGACTCCTGCGTCCTTCGACGCGCTGAAAAAAGCAAGTGTCTTTTGTTTGATGTGCATTTTTGCACGGCCCGACCGGCAAGTGCGCAATGGTGTCAGATATACCTTCGATGAGCGCGCAAGCTGCACGCGGTGCTTTTCAAGTAGTTAAGTGCGGCCTGCACGGTTTTCCGTGGTTCAAGAGAGTTTGAGGGTATTGTCGTTGTCCTTTTTTTTCCCCCTCCGGGAATTGAGTATGAAATTTAGGATGAAAAATCGGCTTGGAATACATTGCGCAATTGATAATTTATGTGTGTGAAATCTGATTTTTTCGTTGTGCCGAAACAGCTGAGCTTTTGAAATAGGGAATTTAAATTGAGAAATTCCGATTCAATCAATATCGCGTCATATGCTAATTCGTCCGATAGGTTCATGGGCGTGAAGTAATACTCGATTTTCGGGTAACGTGCCGCTCGTGGATATGCGTAATAGGCCCTGCTTAATTTGCCGATCGGGAGGAGAAGAGGAAAAATGTCGTGAGAGGAAATGTAAATTATGAGCTCAGAATTTGCGACTCCATTTTCACTTTATGTAACTTGCGAACAGAGTCAAACAAGTTTGGCTGGATTTCTCTTCGATTCTTCGGAATAATGAATTCGGTTGGGCCGAGATGAAAGAAAATTTTTTTTTTCTACCTCATGTGTTCACGAGTTTGACACCACGAGTTGAGAAATTGGAATTTTCAATTTGTAGGTTCATCTGATTAGTGGTAAGTTAAGTTTTTTTGTTGTTTTGGTTTGACGAATAAACAGACCCGACGTGTTTTTCATCCTCACATACCGTTAACAGTGACGAAATATAAAAAAAAAATGCCTTGCTCGGTTAAAATCAAACGATACACAATATTCATGAATTAACAGGACACCAACTTTGATTGGGCTTGAGAAAGGTGGATGACGTATTTCATGAAAAATTAACAATTTGCATAGCATTATTGTACATGAAAATCAATACTTTACAATTCGAATATTCTGTTGTATAAATTTTATACAAAATAAAAATTATTTGAGTAAGCAACCATAAATTTAAAATAAACGTTTTAACCGTGCCATACGTTTACTTCAATGAAACTAGTGATGAATAAAAATCGAAGATAAAGCCTATACCCAACGGAAAGTTGTGATATAAAAAATCAAATAATTTATAGCAAAGTACACAGCCACTTACATTTTGTGGAATATCGATGTCGAGCAGCATCTTGAGAGTCGTATGTGACTTTTTCCACCTCGGGATCGTCGGCCAAAAAGTCTAAGACACTCCGCGACTTGCAACGACGAGCGAGACGTTCGCCAGAACCTCGAGTACCCAAAAGCAGCTGGGAAAGCTCGCAAGCTCAGCCGTTCATCCTTTTACTGGACAAAAAACAGTTACCGATCCGTAGAGTCTGATCGGCAAGCTCACCGATCAACCGATCGACGGAAATCCAAAAATCTTGCTTCCTTTTTTCTATATCTCCGACGATCGCAAGCTTTCACAAGCGCGCTCGCGCTCGTGACAGAGGGCCCGATCGCGAGTCTTTGGAGTTGAAGTATGTGACTCGGCGCGCGCGAGGGAACGACTGACACTACGAGGCCGGTAGCCGCTGTACCAAAGCTGGCTCTTTCGCTCTTTCTCCCCTTTCTTTCAGAGCAGTGGACTGCCACGCTGGACTCAGTAATAAGTTAAAGCAGAGAAATGAAGACACACACGCGGGTTTTATTGCTTTAAGTGTGTACGTGTGCAAGCACGGTAACTCTACTGTACGGATGGTGCCGCGACGTTTTGAAAGACCACCGACTGCCCGCTCGCGTGTGCGGGAGGCTGGCTACGAGCACCTCGGTATATACTCTCGCGATCTCGCGAGCCGGTGTTAATTGACGTTTGATGCCCGCTGAGGTGTATGCCCATACAGCTGTGGTGCACGCGCGTCACTACGTTCAAGATAAGAGGGAGAAGCATCTTCTTTTTTTACTCGTGCGGCTGTAGGTAAGGGCACAGCACAGTGGTCTCTTTCTTGGCGCGTGGGACTGTGCTAAAATGCTGGTTGTCGGGTCGCATGGTGATGGTGCTGCACATCGAGGTTGTCGTGGAAATAGCAAAATCGATTTTCGTTTATAAATCGTTGAGCAAAGAAGTGCCGGAGTGAAATTGCTTTTCTCGGAGTTGACGCGCATATGAAAAAAAAATCCTGACGGTTGACGCTTTCGTTCGAATTCGGTGCGTTACAGTCATGTTTTTAAGGGATGTAATTTGAAAAAGAAGTTTTGGGGATGATTGTTCTTGCACTCGAACCAAATGACGTTGTTTATAAGATCCTTTTCATTATTCCTTTATCGTGGAAGGATTTTTTACTCATTTTTAAAACTGTTCTGATGAATGGGATATAATTTTAGATCGTTAATTTGTAAAAATTCACATACTAATAAGAATATTTTCTAAGTATTGTCATCAGTCAAAATCGCTTGATGAAAAAGTGTTTTTTATGAATTTTTTATTTACTAGTAAAAAAAATGTTATAAACGAAATATTAAAAACCTAGACTATAGAACTTAACTTTTAAATTTGGTTTTAATAAGTAGGTATAAATAAGATGTACCGCTTATACTCTACTATTAAAGTCAGTTGAAAAAAAATTTTTTTTGCAAATTCAAAATCTTCAAACTAAAAAAAAGATTAAAAACAATCTTTGTAGAGCTTTCTCGTCTCTATTAATAAAACAATTTTATTGCTTGTAAAAAAATGTATTCTTTTCTTTTTCTCAAGTATCACCAATATTTAATTCTTTAATAAGGATATAATTAAAGTATTTAATTATATATAATAATTCATGGAAAATAATGTTATTAAATAATTATGCTATTATACGATTATTTTTCAACTGAATTTGGCGCTTTAAATATCCTTATAGATAAACCAGATATTGCATTTGCTTGAAATTTACTATAAAAGTGAAACTTTCATCATTCACGCAGCTCCGAAAGAATCTGCGATCAATGTCGTGCAATTAATATTCCAAACAGAAAGAGCTGACCGAAGCCTTGACTCATCATATTTCCTAACCATGCTTTGATTCGTTGAATAGCAATAACATTAATTAAAATTTTATGACAGTTTGTTATTTTGACTGTATTAAAAAATACTCTCTACGACGCTTGTGTCTATTCACATTTTATAACATTAAGGATTTAGTTAAAAAAAGTTTAAGCCATAATATAAAATATGTAGGTTACACGTTGATATTGAAAACATGTATTGACAAATCGTTTTATCAGTTGAAAGGAGCAGTGAGTGTACGTTTACTTGGCGCAGAATTAAAAGGATGCAAGTAGGTCATGTTTAGTAAAAAGCTAAATATGCGTATATATTTAAGTAAAAAAATATGCTGCCCATTACATTGGCACGTAAGGAGTAGTGTACCAAATTCGGTGAGCTATCATTTTACGTGATATCTTCGTACATTTAAAAAACACCATTTTTTTGGCACTTGTTAATCAGTACAGTCGAAATTCCATCAGTAAATAGTTTGTGTTAAGATATTATTCATCTCAGAAATACATATAAAAAATTTAATGCTCGTTAAAATTACTGAAATAGTATTACGAACTGCTGCTAATTATTTAGCTTGAATTTTATTGTTTTTATTATTTTTTGAAATTTATATCTTTAACTCTAATCTTAGTACATCTATAGGTACTTCTTATCATATCATGTTTATTTATATTTAAGAGTTACACTCGTATTAACTATGATTCATACATTAAAATGCATATTATTTTGAAAAAAATCTCACGACTAAAAAACATTTCACATGTTTTCGTTAAATTAAGATCTTTTATCGTAATATCTAAAACTATGTGCAATAATAACTTTTTAACAATAAAATTGAGAAAAATTCTAACTCTTTGCAGCATAATTAATATCCCCTTTCTAAATCATAAAATTTAAAAACAATCTGCTACAACTATAATACACTGAATAGCTAATATAATCCACTATAACACGTACGTATTTGTAACAACACATATCATACATTTTTTAACAAAAACGTTACTATTATTCCAATGCCGAACCCTATTTTTAAAAGGACAATAATTTTAAATAAAACATTTTATTTTTTAAATTGTTAGAATATAATCTTTTGCTACCTTCTTATTTTTCACACACTCAACAAATTAAATCAAGTAAATAGTAATTCATGATGTGATGCAAATAAATAACGCCTTAAATGTCTAGTTACACACGTATCTCATAAACCATGTGGTCAGTTCCTTTACAGACACGTAAACATAAAAAATTTAATTTTAATTCATAATTAATACATTTATTATTTTTTGGTTGTCTATTGAAGTTAACTTTTTTATGATAAAATTTCAGCGTCTTAAAATGAGCTATACAATTAAAATAGCCAAAACGTCGACAAAAAATTTTTTAAATCATTTTATTAGTAAGTAGGATGCATAGGCAGTTATTGGTTATATTTATGCAAAATATAATTTCCGTTTTTACTAAGAAAACGCATTATTTTATTGACTTGTAGGAATATTGCTTTTTTTGTAAAATTGGCAAAAAATTTTTAAAAAGGCATGACTTGAATCGTATCACAGAACGTAAAAGTAAAAAAAAATCTTGAAAATTCATACTTACCTGCGCAGTTGAATAAAATTGTATAATGCTTTATGTAATCGAAAAATAAAAATCTCGTCTGATCTTATAGGGTAGACGTGGGATGAAAAGAAGTCGCTTTAGCCATCTAATTTCAAGAGCCACTCAGATGTAATATTACTCAAAGACGTAATATCTCACCATAATCCAATGATACGCAGGCACCGCATGTAATTATAGATACACAAAGGCACACTCATATACATGCTTATACAAGTTTAGGCATCCGGCTAAGTTAAAAGATCTCAAGTAAACAATAAAAAATCGAAGAAAAAAGAGAAAAATATAAAGACACGTGATTTGAATACAACTGTTATGTAAGCTAATCTGCAAAGACCAGCTCCTAGTTCGGGCACAGGTAAGTTATACAATTATTGCCCATAGAAGTAGGAATATTAGGCACATATGATGACATGAATGCTGCTGTTCATGGACATTTGGATTCATTTCACAAGGTGAAAGTTTCCGAATGCCAAGTAGATAGATCTTGATTTTTGTATCTCCGTGTGAACGATTGGAGTTGCACTTGCTTGTTTACCAATACCTATATTTGCTTATGAATTATATTATCGCATAAGTAAGTAATCGTATCACTAGCACTTTATTACAAATGAAGCACCAAAATATTATTTTTGGAGGGACGACCAATAGTAATTCAAAACGTCGATTTTGTGGTAAACACCGGTAGGTATATTACAACACCTCAGCTCGTCCGTTCAGTATGAGCGTTCGGACACTCGACTTTGAGAGAGAAATTTTGAAGCTGGAGTGTCTTTTAATATTTTACTATTTACACTTAACTCGTAATTTTTAAGTAGCTTCTTTTACTTTATTTCTTTCTTTTAATTACCTTTACGTATTAGCAAGGATATAATGTATAAATACATGTACAAATTTATTTACTCACATCGCGTTTTTACTGATTATTGAGATCGTTGAATTACGTTTTAAAATTTAAAGGTCGCTGGGAACACAAAGTACTTTCATCAGATGTCATATAGTTATAAATTTGTTATATTTTGATACATTAGAGGTGTTTAATCAATTTGTAAAGTTTCTTCCCTGATTTATTCATTTATTTACTTATGTAAAAATGAATTTTTTTCATAAGAATTCATACATCACGAATGATACAGCAATAAAAAAAATTAAGAAAAATCAAAAATAAACTAATATTATTTACTAAAATATAATTTTAAAATGTGATAAGTACACGAAATTTTAAGATGCTCTTATACTGTAATAGACGACTGATTTAGAAATATTTTTTTTCTTATGCGTAGATCTTATAGCCTCATATTTAGTAATTATTACATGTGCTACTAAACAATCAGATTTTTTTGTTTCAAGAATAAGTGCATTATCAATTTTTAATTGCTCATGTGATTGTTTTAGAATATTTTTTATAAATTATACTTTATCGTAGCCAGCCATTGACAAGACTAACGATTTAGAGAATATAATGTCTAACTTATTTACAATTCAATATATATTTTTCTAATAAAATTATGAGTGATTGTTTCAATAATTTTTAAATTATTTACAATTACGTTTTAAGAATCTTACTCATTAGTTCATTTAAATTTTTTGATAAAGGAAAATCGTTATGAGAAAAAATTTTTAATTTGAAAATGAAAAATGAGATTTTTAAATAACGTTAAACAAAGATAGCTTTTACATGGTTAGTAAAGCTGCTATCTCATCAGTGAATTGAAAATGGCCCACAAGAGACTCCTCTTGGTGTTTCAAGGTTTTTCCGTTTTGTATAAAAATAAGAGCCTCTTCTTATTACTTCCAAAACTCGCGACGTTGTATGAAATTATAATAGGACAGCGGCCCTGGCGCTTCGAGGCCAACTGTAATGGTTATATCGTAGTCAAAGTTGTTTGTTTTTGTTTCATTACCGGACTGTGATACTTTCGCTAAATAAACTATAGCTTGAATTCGAACTCATTGATAGAGCGTAGTAGAAAATCAAGTAGAGACCCCACAGGAAAAGAGCAAAGACTGCATACTTAATGCTTTTGTGGAGTATGACCAACCTGCAAATCGATAGTAACAAAATATTTACAACTTTTTAATAGCAAGTATTATTTGAATATTTTTTTTTTTTTTTTTTTTTAACTCGTTTTTACCTTGACATCCGTTTTTTAGCTTTGGGTATGGTATCAAGAGTATCCTTGAATATGAATCTTCTAATTCCATGGACACATATATTCATGTAAGTGTCCCAGTCAAAGTCTTTCATGGAGAAGAAAAATATTTCTTTGTCCTCCTCTGATAATTTATCCCAAAGCTTTAGAACATTGTTATTTCTAAAATTCCAATTCTTCGTGCTAAAGTAAGCCGTAACTCGCATATACTTGTGGATTTTTTTGTACATCTTCAGTAACCTGTGAAAACATAGGTTTATCAAAAAACATTTTTATTTTTCGTACGGTAATGGAAATTCCGTGACTCACAAGTTCAACTCACTTTGCTTTTTTTCCTGTGACGAGAAGAGCAGTGTCAATGATGATGGCTGGTAACATGTGCAAAACGAGTATCAGGAAGTAGTGGAAGTAGATATACTTCGTCTCGGTCATTGAGTAACACCAGAGGCTTTGCATGGATGGTAGTTTTTTGCCGTGCTTGAAGGCCAACTCGACGTATTTGCCCCATGTCAATCGGTTTGTCCAACTCGAATGGTAGTTGTAGATCGGTGGCTCGTCATCGGCATTTCTAAAAATGGTTGTTAAAACAGTAACAAAACTTTAGTACGATATACGTAGTAATAGAAAATACGTGGTGGAAAGAAAAGTATTACTTATTGTTGGCAATATCCCAAGCTGTAGAAATCAGAGCGTTGATTGTGAGATCAGCAGGTATCATTTCAGCTGTACAATCCCTGTCGATGTTCAATGTTCGAATCAGACCGACTCCACCTCCAACTAACGCACCGGTGGGTCCGGAAACATTATCAATCCATCCACTTAGTGGTTCTCGGAATGATGATATGACTGAAATGTCAAATTGTAAATTGTTAATATAAATTTTAAGGGAAAACTACAGAAGTACCTTATATAGCATTCTTATCATTTCAAAAAGTTTAAATTCAAAAATTCTCCAATTTTTTGATAGCTTCATTTTTATGATACAAACTGATAAGGAAATAAATTTACTAGGTAAAAAATTACAGTAAATCGGAAAAAATTAGTTTTTAACAATCAATTTTCAAAGTTACCGTTGCATGCCCATGTTTCATGAAGGAAAATTGTCGTTATAAAAAACCACTTATTGTTCTGTTCGTTGAACTAAAAAAAGTTCTTTACATTATCTTGTATTAGAAGAAGAAATACTTTAAAAATTTGGACAAGCAGTTTTTTCGCCATAACTTAAAATTTGAAGGATTACATAGTTGGTTAGAATTCATATTCTATTTTTTTAAATTATCTTCATCGCTTACAAATACAAAAAAAATTTTTTTTTTTTAGGTATTTGTCTATAATGTAATCCTGATTATATTTGAATCGTATCACAGAACGTAAAAGTAAAAAAAAATCTTGAAAATTCATACTTACCTGCGCAGTTGAATAAAATTGTATAATGCTTTATGTAATCGAAAAATAAAAATCTCGTCTGATCTTATAGGGTAGACGTGGGATGAAAAGAAGTCGCTTTAGCCATCTAATTTCAAGAGCCACTCAGATGTAATATTACTCAAAGACGTAATATCTCACCATAATCCAATGATACGCAGGCACCGCATGTAATTATAGATACACAAAGGCACACTCATATACATGCTTATACAAGTTTAGGCATCCGGCTAAGTTAAAAGATCTCAAGTAAACAATAAAAAATCGAAGAAAAAAGAGAAAAATATAAAGACACGTGATTTGAATACAACTGTTATGTAAGCTAATCTGCAAAGACCAGCTCCTAGTTCGGGCACAGGTAAGTTATACAATTATTGCCCATAGAAGTAGGAATATTAGGCACATATGATGACATGAATGCTGCTGTTCATGGACATTTGGATTCATTTCACAAGGTGAAAGTTTCCGAATGCCAAGTAGATAGATCTTGATTTTTGTATCTCCGTGTGAACGATTGGAGTTGCACTTGCTTGTTTACCAATACCTATATTTGCTTATGAATTATATTATCGCATAAGTAAGTAATCGTATCACTAGCACTTTATTACAAATGAAGCACCAAAATATTATTTTTGGAGGGACGACCAATAGTAATTCAAAACGTCGATTTTGTGGTAAACACCGGTAGGTATATTACAACACCTCAGCTCGTCCGTTCAGTATGAGCGTTCGGACACTCGACTTTGAGAGAGAAATTTTGAAGCTGGAGTGTCTTTTAATATTTTACTATTTACACTTAACTCGTAATTTTTAAGTAGCTTCTTTTACTTTATTTCTTTCTTTTAATTACCTTTACGTATTAGCAAGGATATAATGTATAAATACATGTACAAATTTATTTACTCACATCGCGTTTTTACTGATTATTGAGATCGTTGAATTACGTTTTAAAATTTAAAGGTCGCTGGGAACACAAAGTACTTTCATCAGATGTCATATAGTTATAAATTTGTTATATTTTGATACATTAGAGGTGTTTAATCAATTTGTAAAGTTTCTTCCCTGATTTATTCATTTATTTACTTATGTAAAAATGAATTTTTTTCATAAGAATTCATACATCACGAATGATACAGCAATAAAAAAAATTAAGAAAAATCAAAAATAAACTAATATTATTTACTAAAATATAATTTTAAAATGTGATAAGTACACGAAATTTTAAGATGCTCTTATACTGTAATAGACGACTGATTTAGAAATATTTTTTTTCTTATGCGTAGATCTTATAGCCTCATATTTAGTAATTATTACATGTGCTACTAAACAATCAGATTTTTTTGTTTCAAGAATAAGTGCATTATCAATTTTTAATTGCTCATGTGATTGTTTTAGAATATTTTTTATAAATTATACTTTATCGTAGCCAGCCATTGACAAGACTAACGATTTAGAGAATATAATGTCTAACTTATTTACAATTCAATATATATTTTTCTAATAAAATTATGAGTGATTGTTTCAATAATTTTTAAATTATTTACAATTACGTTTTAAGAATCTTACTCATTAGTTCATTTAAATTTTTTGATAAAGGAAAATCGTTATGAGAAAAAATTTTTAATTTGAAAATGAAAAATGAGATTTTTAAATAACGTTAAACAAAGATAGCTTTTACATGGTTAGTAAAGCTGCTATCTCATCAGTGAATTGAAAATGGCCCACAAGAGACTCCTCTTGGTGTTTCAAGGTTTTTCCGTTTTGTATAAAAATAAGAGCCTCTTCTTATTACTTCCAAAACTCGCGACGTTGTATGAAATTATAATAGGACAGCGGCCCTGGCGCTTCGAGGCCAACTGTAATGGTTATATCGTAGTCAAAGTTGTTTGTTTTTGTTTCATTACCGGACTGTGATACTTTCGCTAAATAAACTATAGCTTGAATTCGAACTCATTGATAGAGCGTAGTAGAAAATCAAGTAGAGACCCCACAGGAAAAGAGCAAAGACTGCATACTTAATGCTTTTGTGGAGTATGACCAACCTGCAAATCGATAGTAACAAAATATTTACAACTTTTTAATAGCAAGTATTATTTGAATATTTTTTTTTTTTTTTTTT